AAGCAGCTGATCTTGAATCTGATCTCACTTCAGTAATAGATTGGGGTTCACAGTGGCTTGTGAATTTCAACTCTAAAAAAACCCAATTGTTTACTGCAAACAACTACCGTAATATGGTCAACATTCCTATATTAATGAGTGGGAATCCTCTTACTGAGTCGTCCTCTTTACGTCTTCTTGGATTATCGCTTACTACTGACCTTTCATGGAAACCATATATACAATCGATTGCTAAATTAGCTTCTGCTAAGGTTGCTTCTCTTTATCGTGCTCGCCATTTCTTTACTTCTGATTCCATTCTCTACCTCTACAAATCTCTTATTCGTCCCTGTATGGAATACTGTTGTCATATTTGGGCTGGTTCTTCTAACGATTCACTTTCTCTTCTTGACAAGGTCCAAAAACGCATTGTAAATGTTGTTGGACCTAAACTATCTGCTAAGCTTGAACCTCTTCCCCATCGTCGTAAAGTTGCATCTCTTTCTCTTTTCTACAGATACTATCATGGTCACTGCTCAAAGGAGTTATCATCTCTAGTTCCATCAACTAAAATTCATTCTCGTTTTACTCGTCATTCAGCTATGTCTCATTCGTTTACTGTATCTGTCCCCGCATGCTCTAAAAACTTTTATTCATCTAGTTTTTTTCCCCGCACTTCAATCCTTTAGAACTCTCTCTTCATGTTTTCCTGACTCATACAACCTTCAACTTTTCAAGTCTTCTGTCAACCGTTTCCTTGCTCTATAACTCTGTTCTTTTTTTTTCCTAGTAACTCCCAACTTAATAGTGGTTGCTTGCAGCCTTGTTGGGAGTGAATGCAAATAAAAAAAAAAAATACAATGGGTTTTTTTCCGTTAAACAACGGGTAGTTTAGTCATCGCAGCTGCCGGAACTTTTCCGTTAATAAACGGATACTTCCGTTTAAATTAAACTAGTTTTTCTCGTTCTAAATATAAATAATGAACTTAATGATTAATTATAATACTTATAACTAACTTTTTAACTCTTACAGCTTTGAGTGCTTTATTATCTAAATATAAACAAATGTGAACACAAAAATGATATAAATATTTTATAATAGACATGATATATATATATATATATATATATATATATATATATATATATATATATATATATATATATATATATATATATATATATATATATATATATATATATATATATATATATATATATATATATATATATATATATATATATATATATATATATATATATATATATATATATATATATATATATATATTTTAGGGTTATGACTTTTTGACTTTTTAAAAAAAGAATAATTTCCTGTGTCATAAATCGATGAACTTTTATTAGAAAACATTGAAAACATGTTCAGTTCATCTCGGTTGTAAAAAACGGTCACTCCGCAATTCAAATTACGTTTTGTTATTTATTTTAATCTTGTTACTGTTTAGAGAGTTATTATTAATTAATGCTGTTGAGATAAAGCGCCAGGCAATATCTATGATAGCCGGTATAAATTGATTAATAAACAAGTTAGTTCAGTCACTAAATAATAAAAACGTTAATAATAAGCTTTCTTGGTTTTTATCTTGTTTGTTATTGCTTCTAAGTCGACCGATTGCAAGTTTAATTTAAAGCTTTTAACTGTAGTAGATTGAACAACTTCGGCTGGTAGACTATTCCATCCGTCGACAACTTTTTTGCTGAAAAAATATTGCCTTTTCAAACAATTTCTGACCAATTAAGGTTTCATTCGATGTTTTGCTCCTCTAATATTAGCTGCAGGACCTGATGAGCAAATAGAGTTCATTGTTTGATTTTGTTTAATATCAATGATTTCAATACCTTTAAATATTTTGAATTGCTGGATTAAATCGCACCTTAGCCTTCTAGTCTCCAAAGTAGTCAAACCCAAAATTTCCAATTATTTTTTGTACTCAAGATGTCTTAGCTCCGGTATCATTTTGGTAGCTCTTCGTTGGACTTTTTCTAGTTCATTAATATCTTTTGTATAATACGGACTCCATGCTTGAATTGAAAACTCTAAATTTGGTCTACATATGTACAATACAGTGTTTTTATTAGATCTTTATCCTTGTACTTGAATGTATTATTTAGTAGTGAGAGTATACTATTTGCTTTACTAGCTGCATATTTTACTTGTTTGGCCCATTTTAAATCACTTGATATATAAACACCAATGTCTTTTTCTAGTTTTGACTTTTCAATTTCCATTTATGTATTGTTATTGATCATAAATTATGACTATTCGTTACTATTTGAACCAAAGTGCATAATTTTACATTTTTCAAAATTTAATCCTAATTTCCATTTTGTTGACCATTCGTCAAGTTTATTTATATCATTTTGAAACAATTGTGAATCATTTTGAGAAGAAATAGGTGCAATTATCTTATTATTATCAGCATATAAACGACATTCATTAAGAAAATTTTCTGGTAAATCATTTATAAATACCAACAAAAGGAGAGGACCTAGAACAGAC